TGACATAGGTTTTGAAACTATGCTTTAATCTTAGACTAGTTTTGATATGTCAAAATAGTTTTGGAAACCAACACTAGACAATTCGTAGTTCCTCATCAGCTCTGATGATAATAGTAGGTGCATTCATTGCTATGACTGCAAAATATTATTAATACTATGTGATAAATCACTAGCTTTGCTATAAACTAAGGCTGAATTTTTGTCATGGATTTCGATTTTGATCCTGCCTATTTAGCATTGCTGAAAAGTAATCAGGAGTTGAGGAAGGAACTTAATGCGGAGGTAAGTATCAATGACCTGAATGAGAAAAAAATCTGCATTCTCATAAAAGAGCTAGAGCAATGTAGTAGGACAATTTCATTTCAGGATACTACAATTGTAACCCACGAAAAGGAGATTCAGGAACTCAAATCCCAAGTATCTGATTTGCAAAAACATCTTCGGTCTGCTCTAAAGGATGTGGATAAAAAAGAGAGTTATGTTCTTGATCTAGAGCAATGGTTGTCTACACTCGAAGAGGAAGTGGTCATCTTAAAAAAGAAAATTCAAGAAATTACCTCTCGGAAGTATAATAAATCTGCAGGAATCAAAGATTCATTTAACATAGTTAAGATGTCTCAGCCGAATCAGATTCAACCACCTAGGCCCAATGAACTCAATAACCTTTTCGATACACTTCTGGATGAAAATGTACATATTGATAATTATATTCGAAATTCCCACACTTCGGCTTGGAATCAGAGGGATATTCTAAACAAGATTATTACAGTTAATGATTCTGCACTTCGACTAAAAGAAATTGCTGACTGGGAAAATGACGAAGCACAAACCCAGTATCAGCAATATGGTCAGATGATTGCGGGGTTGAATAATCAAGCAACTCAACTTCAAGCCCAAATTCAGGGAGATGCGCAAATTATTATACAATTACAGGCTCAGTTGGATACTGCAAATAATAATTTTGATCTTCTTAACCAGGCCCACAATTTCCAGACGGGACAATTGCAAAATTGCCAAGCCGATTTACAAGATTGGCGTAGAAAGCATGTGAAGAGAAAAGGTAAACATATCAAGCAAAAGGCGAAGCATAAAAAGTGGGAAAATAAAGAAAAGGATTCCCGGCTAAGAATAATAAATTTAAATCAGCAAATTTTAACGCTTCAGAATAATCTACCAAATATGACAGCTATAGGTGACTTAACTGGTATTACACCTTTACTCGCAAATGTTGAATTCTATGATGGACAGGTTCAGCCCGATGAATGGTATAATAAAATTCACGCCATACTAGCTATTCCTGTGATAACTAATCTCAATGATGCCAATAAAGTAGCTATTTTAAAGAGTAGACTTGGTTGAAAATATGCAGATGTACCCGATCAACATGCTGGAAATAATATTGATACTCCAGCTCGCTTTATTGCATGGTTACATTATAAATATCAGACGGAACACAGCAAGTTGCTTTCCAGAGATTAGCTTACGAAAAATTTTTACCTAATGATACGCCGGAAACATATGAGATGAG